TTTACACCGTAAACATAAATGAAAGAGAATTCAGAATTTTAAAATTTCTTATTTTTATTAAAATTATAATTATATTTTAAAGTATTCTCTTAGGCTTATTTGTATATACAGAGGGATCATGGGTTTATTTAAAGAAAGGGGGTTGCCCTTTGTTATTTCAAGCCATGTGGCCAGAAGGCAGCTGCTCAATCTGTTCTTTTAAAAGACAGTCAAACTTATATTGTAAACAAAAATTTTACTAGTTGTATCTGGTCTTTATTAGAATTGTTTGTAGAAATATTGGCTTTTTATTTAGTTGAAAACCTTGATTATAATTTAATAAGCTAATTTATTTAAGTAATTGAAGTAGGTATCTTTATTTAAAATAAAGTAAATTTACATCTGATTATACAAGCCTTAAATGTTGCCCCGCCTCTAGCTTAATATAGGAGGGTACATAAAGTTAAGTATTATTTAAATATTGCCTTCTTGCCAAAACCAGTTTGGCTCAGTGGATAAAGCGTCATTCTGCAGACTGAAAGGTCCCAGGTCAAGGGAATGTACAGTGGTTGTGGGCAGATCCTTGGCAGGGGGTGTGCAGGAGGCAGCTGGTCATTGTTTCTCTCTCATTGACATTCCTAGCTCTCTATCCCTCTTCCTTCCTCTCTTTGGAAAATTAATAAAATATATTAAAAAAATATATATTGACTTCTTATGTAACTTAATTTATATGAGACCTTGATTATATTTTAAAAGTCTAATTTATAAAGTAACTTAAGTAGGTATCTTTAATTAAAAAGTAAGGAAACTTATTCAGTAAAACTTGTGGGTCTGATACTTTATTGGTCTTATTTAAAGCATGGCTTTTGTCTCTCTAGAAATTCTACCGCTGTTGAAAAATTTGGCTATATTTAAGAAATATATTGTTTTTGCCCTTCTTACAGGTGAAAATCTTTATAACATTTAATATATATTTATTAATTTTTATTTGATAATATTTTCCAGGCAATTTCAAGTATATTAGATCTGTTAAATTTAGAAAGATTTCCTTTAAGAAGAGAGAATAAATTTCTTGTATTACTCCTGGCCCTTGGAGTTTTCCAAGAATCATCTCTGATAAGGTCTTGACATTTTAACATGGAAAAAACTTACAAACAAATATCTACAAATTATTTAAATATTATAATACTTTTTATTATTACCTGAAGATATCAATTAGATTTTAAACTAGTTTTTGCATGGAAAAATTTTGGTTGGGATCACAGAATTAATACTTTTTTAACTAGACCAATAAAAAACAACTTACTTATTTTTAATTCCTAATTATTTTCAGAGAAAACATTTTATTTTCTCAAAAATAAGTTCTTATACTTTTTAAAAAATATATATTTTATTGATTTTTTACAGAGAGAAAGAGAGAGGGATAGAGAGTTAGAAACATCGATGAGGGAGAATCATTGATCAGCTGCATTGAGGATGTGCCTGCAACCAAGGTACATGCCCTTGACTGGAATCGAACCTGGGACCCCCCAGTCCTCTGGCCGAGGCTCTATCCACTGAGCCAAACCAGTTTCGGCTAAGTTCTTATACTTTTGACATTTAATTAACACAACTGTATAATTTCTCCTAATTAATTTGCACTTTGAATTTTTAAAGCTGGCAAGTTAAATATATTTAGTAGTTCCTAGATTAATAACTTTATATTTCTAAGAAAAATACAAGACATAATCAATTAATAGATTAAATTCTATCTTCTAGGTTTTTCATGAGGCAAATTTAAACTTTAATTTTTATTTACTAGTAGCTCTGGAAAACTAGGTTTGGTTTATTCAAATGTAAATTATCACATTCTTCAAAAATGGTTCCTGGCAGGACACTATATTACCTGTCTGCTGGAGGAAGGGCATCTATCCTTTCTACCATTTAGTAAAGGATGTAGCCAGTTACCTGGGCTACTTAGATCTTTATAATTAATATATTATTTATCTATATTTTAATAATTTTTGAGATTTAAGTCCAATTCTAATTATTTTAAGGCATTTACTTTGGATAAATTCTATAATAGAGAATTTACTGGTTTTCTGGAAGGCCTTAAAAGTTAACTTTTTAATAAGGTTCACTGGCATTTTGAAAACTACTCTTCATTATGGAAATGCAAATTTTGTTGCTGGAATTTAAAAGATGAAATAGAGAAGGGGCCAGAGACCGAATGCCAGGACAAAGGCTTTATTGAAGAGAAGTACCACTGCCAGCTGTTTCCAGAGAGAGAGAGCAGAAGAGAGTGAGGGCCTGGATCCATGTACTTTAAAGGAGAGAATAGGGGACGGGGCTTAGGGCACTTGGCACATGCTGATTGGTGGTTTCATGTAAGGCACATGATTAGGGACCGAGGGACTTAGGAACCCGGGGCTTAGGGTATTTGGCAGGTGCTGATTGGTGCGTCAGGAATGTCTGGCTGTAGGTGGAGTTTATGTCTGTCCATCAATTGGAGGAAGGGAGGATCTATCAGAATTAGCTTGAATTTCTTTCAAGAAGATTTTTTCGCTGTTTTTCTCAGGAAAAAGAACCAGCTCTGGGTTTTTTATTTCTGTAGTCCTTGTAAAGAGCTAAGTCCAGTTCAAGACCTATTTAATATCCAAAGTCGAACAGTGTGAACATTTGGTCTTACACTAGATTTCTTTTTACACATGTACAGATATCCCAGATGCATTTCTAAACTTTTAAAACTTTTTCATGGCAAGAAAGAAAACTTTTAATTTAATATAATAGGGGAGTGGGCTTCTATATTGGATCGCCCCGTGTCCCTCCCTTCCCCACATCCTGCTTACTTCAGGGGAAACATCAGCAACAGATCTGGCTGAATTGCTTTTCATGCTTAAAAGATAGACAGATCTCAAATTTTTCTTTTCCACTTTCTGAAGTAATAATTTGGCCAAGATTTGCAAATCCCTGGGAGTTCTCTTATAATTTTTAAACAAGACATTAAAAAACTTTATTGCAAGTAATCTTATTGTGTGAGAGCAGATAGCCCTGCCCTCTCGTTGTCTTTGAATTTCTCCACACCAGAGGCAATTTCAGCAGTGGAGTTTTGCTATTTACAGATTTTAAATTACACACACCCACTAAGATTCTAATTTGAACAAGAAACATCATTATTTTGTGATCACATAGACTTCAACATTCACTCTAAAGAGCACTTTCACTTTGTCCCATGCTTTACTCCTGACTATCAAAAAATTGCTTCTCTCCTACCTTAATGAGTGTGCACTCTTGATCCGGAGGAGTTTCTTATCATCTGCTTCCCAAGTCCTCAGGTCCCTGGATTTGGGCGCCAATTGCTAGGGGCAGCCTGACAGTTGAAGTGGGCTGATGTAGGGAAGTGGGAATTGAGAAAAGAAAGACAGGAGGATCTGGAGAACTACAGGTAGCCATTGACTGATTGTAGCCAGTTTATTAACTGCGCAATGCTTTTTATACACAAAACACTGAGAAGGAGGTCTGTCAAGAAAATGTATTCTTTGTTCCTCTTAATCTCTAAGGGAGACACAGAGCAGAAGGTCAAGTTCTTGGTACAGCAAATCTCAGTAAATACAGGCTTGTTGGCAAGCCATGAAAGGTTGCTCTCATTCTACTGATAGTAGCATCCAAACAAGTCTGGGAAAACTGTGTGGGTAGGGCTAGCCCTTTTGAGTGCAAGGACCATGTTAGCTTTCATCCTGTATCCAACATGTCAGAACCTAATAACTTAGAATAACTGACATTAGAATAACTTAGAATAACTTCTGTAACAGGAATTTTCTTTTAAAAAAATATATTTTATTGATTTTTTTTTACAGAAGGAAGGGAAAGAGCTAGAGAGCTAGAAACACCCATCAGAGAGAAACATCCATCAGCTGCTTCCTACATTCACCCTACTGGGGAGGTGCCTGAAACCAACTATGCCCTTGACCGGAACTGAAGTGGGACCCTTGGGTCTGAAAGCTGATGTTCTATCCACTGAACCACACCAGTCAGGGCTGTAACAAGAATTTTTTTTTATCTCTGGCTGAAGATTTCAGGTTATAGTAATATGACAGAAATTAAGTCAGAATTTATTTGGTATTGAAGAATCTGCTTTTAAATTAACTCAAACCTTGATTCCTTCTCACATGGGCCTCTCTATAAATTGCCAAACTGTCATATGACATAACTGTTTTTTGTTTTTTTAAAAAAATGCCTTCTGAAGACTTTATATATATATATATATATATATATATATATATATATATATATTCAATATATATATTATATATATATATATGTAGATAGAGAGAGAGAGAGATTTTTTTTTTTTTTTTTTTTTTTACAGAGAGGAAGACAGAGGGATAGAAAGTTAGAAACATCAATGAGAGAGAATCATCCATCAGCTGCCTCTTGCACCCCCCCCCCCCCCATTGGGGATGTGCCCACAACCAAGGTACATGTCCTTGACCAGAATTGAACCTGGGACCTTTCAGTCCACAGGCTGACGCTCTATCCACTGAGCCAAACCAGTTTCGGCAACAACTGTTTTAAGGTAGAAAAGCTTTAAAGTTGGAAGCCAAAGTCTCTGTAATTTGACAAATGACATCTTATCACTCTATAATACTGTATTAGAAATTAAATTATTAGACCTATTCCACAGTAAAGGGAAGCATTTCACAATGATGTAAATTCCTAAAAATGGGGATTGTTAGGGACCATTTTTGTGGTCTTCATTCTTAGGCTGGAGTTAGAAAGGGTCAGAATATCTAAAGATTGGATAGAACCAGAAGGAGATACATTATGCCTGAGTAAAAGCTGTGAATAAACTTGAAAAAGGCCAGATATCTTAATTCTAAGCATTGTGCTTGTGCCTAGCAATGGGAGTTAAAAAGCTTGGAGAATTCAAGAAAATTTGCCACAGTACTTAATAAGGGCATACAAAAAAAAAAAAAAAAACACACAACACCCAACAACAACAACAACAACAAAACAAACACTTGGCAGTAGTGCCAAGGAATTTGCCTTGAGTAGGATATCAAAACATCTATTAGGTAACAACAATTTCATATTATTCATTGTATTTTATTTATTTTTTGTTCATTATATTTAGCTGGTAATGAATCTTGCCCTCAACTTCAGACTTCTGAACAGCTAGCTGCCAAAGAAATTATAAAACTGAAACATATTTTGATTCTACAAAATAAAATTGATTTGGTAAAAGAAAGTCAGGCTAAAGAACAGTATGAACAGATCCTTGCATTTGTACAAGGTAAGAAGCTGGAATATTTAATAAATTATGAATCATTTTAATCCAGATATCTTGATAGTGAATTTAATAAGCTCTAAGTGAATTTAATAAGCTGTAAGTCATATTTATCTGTCTATATTTAATGGCTTTGGAGTTTTTAGCCATCTGATTGAAATGAAATATGTTTCTGGACAGAAAAGTATATATTAACTAGAAAAGTTATATTCTATATAAATGCTACCAAGTGAGGTTATTTTTTTCAAATGTAGAAACATTGCTTTTAAAAATATAATAATAACAACTTCATTTTTTATACATTTTTAAAATATACATTTTTATATATTTTCTAAAAATATATTTTTATTGACATCAGAGAGGAAGGGAAAAGGAAAAATAGATAGAAATATCAGGGATGAGAGAGAATCATGGATTGGCTGCCTCCTGCACATCCCTTATTGGGGGTCAAACTACAGTCTTGATCAGAATTGAACCCATGACCTTGCAGTCTGCAGGCCATTACTCTATCCATTGAGCTAAATTAGCTAGGGGTACTTTATCAGATAATAAAATGCCAAAAACTTCACAGATGTGCAATCAATTTTAGTATATGTGCTAGTAAAGTCAGTGCCATTTAGATGGTTTTAATACTTTTTCAGTGATAGTAAGTGAATAAAATATCTTTATATTTTGGTTTGCTTTCTAATTATTTTGATTCTTTCTTATCAATGACTACATATTTCCAGACTGAAACTGACAACGAATAACTTAATCTCTATAGTATCTCTTCCTCTAAAATGTACTATTTTCATTTTGGATAAGAAAATATGCATTTTTTTGACATTTGATTTCTTGTCCTTTTTATTGTAGTTATTGGAAATATTGACTCTCTTAGCCACATTATTAGGGAGAAAAAGTACACCTACAAAATATTTTCCTATTTGGTCTATTTCATGGGCCAGATTGTCTGACGTTTAATTAATAAAAAGCAAATTTGTCTTTGCAAGCAATTTTTGAGAAGTAATTGTAAAAAAAAAAATCTATAATTTCCTCTTGACATGTATTGAGGTATAAATTACATGTTATTGGAAATCTCTTCAGCTACCAAACTTTCCCAGTAAATCAAGTATTTATTTCTTTTAACAGTATTTTTTAGAAAATTATAGACTAGAAGCACAGTGCACGGAATTTGTGCATAGGGAGTGTGTGTCCTTCAGCCCAGCCTGCACCCTCTCCAATATGAAAACTCTCCAGGGATGTTCAACTGCCTGTGTAGGCCCAATGCTACCAGGCAGTTAGACATCCATCTCATAGTCCAGGACTGTTGGCTCCCAACTGCTCACCTGCCTGCCTTCCTGATTTCCCCTAACCACTCTGCCTGCAAGCCTGATTAACCTCTCACCACTCCCCTGCTAGCCAGATTAATGCCTAACTGCTCCCCTGCCAGCCTGTTTGCTTCTAACTGTCATCCCCAGGAGGCCTGGTCCCCCCAAAATGCCCTTCCCTACAGGCCTGGCCCTTAGCAACTGCCCTTCCCTGTAGGCCTGGTGCCCCCAATTTTCCTCCTTTGTTTGTCTGGTCCCTCCAAACTGTTGTCCCCTGCTGGCCTGATCATCCACAACTGTCTTCCCTTGCAGGCCTGGTCCCTCCCAACTGCCCTTCCTTGCTGGCCAGCTTGTGGTGGCCATCTTGTGTCCACATGGGGCAGGCATCTTTGACCACAGGAGGGCAGCCATCTTGTGTGTTGGAGTGATGGTCAATCTGCATATTACTGTTTTAATAGATAGGAGAGAGGTCTGGTACATGGCAGGGGGACATCTGGTTTTCCCCAAAGGATGTCCCAGACAGGGTGGGGGTTCCCTTGGTGCATTTTGTGGCCTGGGTGAGGGGCCTATTGTGGTTTTCAGGCCAGCCATGACCCTGGCAACCCAAGCCAAGGCCCTTGTATCTGGGATTTATTTATCTTCTACAATTGAAACTTTGTAGCCTGGAGCGGAGCCAAGCCTTCTGCTTGCTCTGTGGCAACAGCCATTTCTGTTGGGATTTATTTATCTTCTACAATTGAAACTTTGTAACCTTGAGTGGAGGCCAGTGCAGGCCATGGTGGGCGGAAAGCTTATCTTTGTCCATCACCAGGCAACCCAAGACTTCTGCTCTCTCCAGCTCTGTGGCTGCTGCCATTTTTGTTGGGATTTATTTATCTTCTATAATTGAAACTTAGTAGCCTTGAGCGAAGGCCAGGGCCTGCCAGAGTGGGCAGGAAGCTTGGCTTCCTCCATTATCAGGGAAACCCAAGCCTCCTGATCACTCCAGGGCCGCAGCCATCTTGGTTTGGTTAATTTGCATACTACCTCCTTATTGGCTGGTGGAGATGGTTTGTGTGTGTAGTGGAGATACAGTCAATTTTCATGTTTCTTTTTTTTTTTATTAGTGTAGATATTAATCTAACTTTAGAGAGTTCAGTCTCAAGAGAAAAAAGAAAATAGTTGTAATCTTTCTAAACAGAGTGATCTTATATTATGTAACATGTGCAAAACAATTTGTAAAATTTTGATCATTTTGAATTTTGTCATATAGGTATAGTGGCAGGACTTCCTATTATTTTAATTTCTGTTCAGTTGAAATACCATATTGAAGTCTGTGAGTATATTGTAAAGAAAATTTCAGTACCTTTAAGAGACTTTACCTCAGAACCTCAACTTATTGGTACGTTCTTTAACCCATTGATTTTTTTAAAAGAAATTATCTTTATTGCCAAAACCAATTTGGCTCAGTGGATAGAGTGTCAGCCTGCAGACTGAAGGATCCTGGGTTTAATTCTGGGGAATGGTGTGTACCTTAGTTGTGGGCACATTTCCAGAGGAGGGGTGTTCAGGAGGCAGCTGATTGATGTTTCAATCTCATCAATGTTTCTAACTCTCTATTCCTTTCTCTCTCTTTAAAAAATCAATTATATATATCTTTATTGTTTAAGTATTATAGAATTCCTCCATTTTATCCCCATTGACACTCTTCATCCTGCTCCCACTTTTTCCAGATGTCTTTACAGCTCTATTTCCATAGGTAATGCACATATGCATGTAAGTTCTTTGGTTAATCTCTTCCCATTGCCCCCTTCTTCTCCATTTAAGATTCATAAGTTTGTTCCATGCTTCAATGTCTCTAGTTCTATCTTGTTGGTCAGTTTATTTTGTTCATATAGGTAAAATCATGTCTTTCACTGACTGATATTTCATTTAGCATAATATATCCAGGTCCCTCCAGCTAACTCAAAGGGTAAGAGATTTTTTTTTATAAATCAATCTTTATTGTTTATATTATTACAAAGGTTCCTCATTTCTTCCCCCCTCCACCAGGTTACCACCCCACCCTCCACCACCTCCCTACCCCCCATTGTCCTCATCCATAGGTGCACAGTTTATGTTCAGTCTCTTTCCGCATCCACCACTCACAAAGGGTAAAAGATTTTTCTTTTTTACAGCTGTATAATATTCCTGGCTATCCTTTATAATTAGAGGCTAATAAGCAAATTGACCCAACAGTGGAAGGAAAGGTCGCTATGACACACACTAACCAACAGGGGGCAGATGTTCAATGCAGGAGCTGCCTCTTGGTGGTCACTGCACTCCCACAAGGGGAGTGCCACTCAGCCAAAGCTGGGCTCATGGCTGGTGAGTGCAGTGGCATTGGTGGGAGCTTCTACCATCTCTGTGGAAGCATTAGGATGTCTAACTGATGATTGAGAGTGGGTGCCGGCCAGGCTAAGGGACCTCCCCTCGAGTACACATATGTTGTGCACTGGGCCTCTAGTTATAAATAATGCTGAAATGAACATTATTTTGGAATTCTTAGGAAGTATAGATAAAATGGCTTATAGGGTCAATAACAATTCCATTTTTAATTTTTTGAGAAAACTCTATTCTGTTTTCTAGTGGCTGCCCAGTCTACATTCTCACCAGCAGTGCATAAGTGTTTCCTTTTCTCCACATCCTCACTAGCACTTGTTGTTTGTTGATTTGACAGTAGCCATTCTGACAGGTCTGATGTGATACCTCTGTTTTAATCTTCATTTATCTGAAGCATTTTTTCATAGGTATGTCCACTTTGGAGAAGTGTCTATTAAGTTCCTTTGTCCTATTTTTTGTTTAAAACTTACATACTATAAGTCCGGTGAACAAAATTTGTGCGGGGGGTGGGGAGGTCTGGTAGTAAGGGGAAAGAAGGGTGTGATGGTGTCCCTCAGCCCAGCTTGCACCCTCTCCAATCTGGGATCCCTCAAGAGATATCCGCAAATGATGAGAATTTTTTCTTTTTTATGACTGCATAATATTCCATTGTGTAAATGTACCATAGTTTTTGGATCCAATCATCTTGGGAAGATCTGAGGGAGATAATAGATCAACCGAAGAACTTGTATACATGCATATAAGTACAACCAATGGACACAAAACTCTGGGGAAGGAGGGTATGTATGGGAGGGGGGCATTGGTATATGTACAAAAATAATAATTTAATAAAAATATATTTTTAAAAAAGAGAGATAAAACAAAACAAAAAAAAACAAAAAAGAGAGAGAGAGAGAGAGAGATATCCGACTGCCCATTTAGGCCCTATCCCAGTGGGCAGTCAGACATTCCTCTCAAAATCCAGGACTGCTGGCTCCCAACTGCTCGCCTGTCTCCCTTCCTGATTTCCCATAACTGCTTCTACCTGCCAGCCTGCTAATCCCCTAATCACTCCCTGCCAGCCTGATTGATGTCTAACTACTTCCCTGCCAGCCTCTTTGCCCCCAACTTCCCTCATGTGCTGGCCTGGTCACCCCTAACTGCCCTTCCCTTCAGGTTTGATCATCCCCACTGACCCCCCAGCAGGCCTGGTCCCTCCCAACTGCCCTCCATCCTGGATATCTTGTGGTAGCCATCTTGTGTCCACATTGGGGCAGGATCTTTGACGACATGGGGGCAGCCATCTTGTGTGTTGGAGTGATGGTCAATCTACATATTACTCTTTTATTAGATAGACAGAGGTCTGGTGCATGGGTGGGGGCCAGCTGGTTTTCCTGAAGGGTGTCCTTCAGGGTGGGGTTTCCTTAAGGCAGTGTTTTCCAAACTTTTGACATATGTGTGCCCCTTCTATAATTTTCATAATGCTGAGTACCCCTGTACTCATGAGAACGTAGAATTAGGTGCAACTAAGCACAGTGCGGTGCACATCCCCACCAAACTTCGGTGCAATGAGTACCCCCACCAAACTCTTCCCATATCCCTAGGGATATGCATAACACACTTTGGGAAACACTGCCTTAGGGCATGGGGTGTCCTGGGTGAGGGGCCAGTGGTGGTTTACAGGCCAGCCATGTTCCCCTTATCTCCTCCATTCCCCACCCTCCCAAGCAATCCAAGCAGAGGCCCTGGTATCTAGGATTTATTTACCTTCTACAATTGAAACTTTGTAGCCTGGAGTGAACCCAAGTCTTCTACTCTGTGGCTGCTACCATTTCTGTTGGAATTTGTTTACTTTCTTTTTTTTATTTTTATTTTATTTTATTTATTTATTTATTTATTTATTTGTTTATTTATTTATTTATTTTAAATCAATCTTTATTGTTCATATTGTTACAAAGGTTCCTCATTTCTTCCCCCCTCCACCAGGTTCCCACACCCCCCTCCGCCCCCTCCCCATCCCCCATTGTCCTCATCCATAGGTGCAGTTTATGTTCAGTCTCTTCCTCCCTCCCTTTCCCCGATAGTAAATCCCTTTTCAGATAGTAAATCAGTTACTTAGCATTTTCTCATATCAATAATACCACCACATGCCCAATGATACATTTCACACAAAAGACATTTCCAAATAGGTCAACCAGCCTCATCCAGGCCCCACCCAAGGCACTCACAGATCAACACCCCAGCCCTATACTAACTCAACACATCCAGATCTAAGCCTTCATCACTTGATTCAGCAGACCCTCAAGTTCCCACAAAAGTTTCCAGCCATGTCTGAGAGGCAGCCGTGGGGAAGGGTCAGGCGAGAAGCGAGCTGTTCCGGGCCTGGCTGCTCCGGGCCTGGCCTCTGTTGCTCTGGTTCGTTCCACAACCAGCTGCTCCGGGTCTGGTCACCGCTGCTCCCAACCTAGTTGCTCTGGACCTGGCTGCTGCTGCTCTGGGCCTGGCCGCACCCAACCCGGCTGCTCCGGGCCTGGCTGCTCCCAGCCTGGCAGCTGCTGCTCTGGGCCTGGCCGCACCCAGCCTTGCAGCCGTTGCTCCGGGCCTGGCTGCTCCCAGCCTGGCAACCGCTGCTCCGGGCCTGGTCGCTCCCAGCCTGGCAGCTGCTGCTCCGGGCCTGGCCGCACCAGACCCGGCTGCTCCGGGCCTGGCCGCTCCCAGCCTGGCAGCCGCTGCTCCGGGCCTGGTTGCTCCCAGCCTGGCAGCTGCTGCTCTGGGCCTGGCCGCTCCCAGCCTGGCAGCTGCTGCTCTGGGCCTGGCCGCTCCCAGCCTGGCAGCCGCTGCTCCGGGCCTGGCCGCACCAGACCCAGCTGCTCCGGGCCTGGCCGCTCCCAGCCTGGCAGCCACTGCTCCAGGCCTGGCCACACCTGACCCGGCTGCTCTAGGCCCGGCTGCCCCGGGCCCGGCCGCTCCGAGTCTGGCCGCTCCCAGCCTGGATGCTCCGGGCTTGGCTACTGCTGTTCTGGACCTGGCTGCTCCCAACCCGGCTGCTCTGGGCCCGGCTTCTCCAGGCCCGGTCACTCTGGGTCTGGGTGTTCCTGGACTGGCCTCCCTGGGCTTGGCTGCCTCCGCCTCAGGCCTGGCTGCCACTGCCCCAGGTCTGGCTGCTCCAGTGCTGGCTGTTGTTGCTCTGGTTCTGGCTGCTGCTGCTCTGGGGCCTGGCCGTTGCTGCTCTGGGCCCGGATGCCACTGCTTTGTGCCTGGGCACTCTAGGCCTGGCCGCCGCTGTTCCAACATTCTGTCCTGTTTTTTAAAAAAAACGCATTTATGTTGCAATGTTGGCTGGTGAGTTGAGTTATGACTTAGTCTTTGAATTTTCAAGATCTTCTTTGTATTCTTTCCTAAGTAATTTTTCTATCTTTTGCTCTCACTTGATGTCTTCACATTGAGAACTTTGGTTTCTTCCTCCTTGTCCTGGGAGCTTAGCAGATTGGCCTGTGGCACCCCTTTGTTCTCCGTGGGCTCCCACGCTGCTCCAGCCTGTTGCCAGGGTCGGCACCGCCCAGGAAGCAGCCCCCGGCCTTGGCTCCATTGCCCGTGCTCAGAGGTCGATGGCTCAGGGGCACCCCCCTCCTGGGGGCCCTGTCGCCCGGCTCCCTGCCGGCGCCCAGCTGGCCGGTGTCTGGCAGGGGCTCCTGCTCCCTGTCATATTCCTCCAGTCTGGAGCTTTTTTTTTTTTCCTCCTTCCCGCTAGGGGAGTCTAGGATCAGAGTCAACAGACTGTCCTCTGCGCGCAGTGTGCGCGACTCTGGAGGCTCCGCGTTTTGCCACTCCTCTGGGGTTCCGCCTCACAGCCCCATCTCCCCCTGCCCGAGCCTGGGTCCCCAGGGTCTGGTCCAGGACTGGGGTTCAGAGCAGTCCGGACTGAGGCTCAGCGCCGCCGGAGGCTTTGTTTCTTCCGGCTAGGGTAATCCAGCATCAGAGTCAACGTTCAGTCCTCTGCGCACAATGTGCGTGTGACTCCGGGGGCCCTGCTTTTCGCTGCTCGCTTGGGATTCCGCCTCACAGCCCCGTCTCCCCCGCTGGAGCCTGGGTCCCCAGGGTCTAGCTCATATCTGGGGCTCAGCGCTGCCGGTTTGGGGGTTTAGCCCAGGCTGGGGGTTTTATTTCCTTCCTGCTAGGGAACGCCAGGCAGCACCCAGCCCTCTCCTCCTCTCCGGCTGCGACCTCTCTGCGCGCGCGTGCATGTGAGCGCGCAGCATGTCTCCGTACCTTAGGCTTTTTTTCAGCTCCTCTGATTTTCCTTCTGGTTTTCTCTTTCCTTCTTGTTGTAGAATTTTCAGTCAGTCGTCTACCTGTAGCTCTGGGCGATGTCCACTCTACATTTTAGTTGTATTCCATTGAAATTGTTGTGTGCTGCTGCGGTTAGGTGTCTACCCGAGCAGCCATCTAGGATCCTCCTCCCTCTTTTTCTCTTAAAAGAATTTGTTTACTTTCTATAATTGAAACTTTGTAGCCTTGAGTGGAGGCTTAGGCCAGCTAGGGCAAATGAAAAGCTTGGCTTTCTCTGTTGCTGGGGACACACAAGCCTCCTCCTGATATCTGTGGCTGCAACCATCTTTGTCTAGTTTAATTTGCATACGTGCTCTGATTAGCTGGTGGGCAAGGCTGGTGGGTATAGTGGAGGTACGGTCAATTTGCATATATCTATTTTTTAAACTAGCTATCAATTTATTTTTGAATACATAAGATTTTGGTTACATTTTCTGAGAGAAATTCGTGATAGTCCCCTACTTCTTTGCCCCATCCATGTTCCTCCTGGATACTATTAATACAATAGGTGGGGGATCAGCCCATGAAAGGGTTCTTACCCATGAAGGGTCAGGAGCATACGTATGAAATACTTCCACATTTGTCCCAGGTAATATTACCATACAGATGATCACTGTTAGCATGGCAGGAAAGATGTTCTTGGGCGTTAGGAGTCTGTACTGTCTTCTTTACCATGCGTCAGGTCATCTCCGGGCTGTTTGTTGTCCGGCTCATCCTCCTCTTGCTTCTCATCTTCAGTGGACTCATTAGAGTTGCTGCTCCCTGTGGCTGAGGTAGTTGATTGTCTACAGCTGCATAGTGTTGCTCCAGGTGCAAGGTCCTCATTAGCCTGGCTAGTTTCTCTCTTGGATCCCTGTTGCAGCTTAATATTTCTAGGAGGAATCCACACTGATTTGGAAAAATTCTCTGGAAATATACAAGCATACCCTCTGCCAAAGGTTAACAATGGATCAGGTCCTTTCCATAAACCAGATTCGGGATCCTTCCATTTAACTAGACCATTTTCTTCTGCTTTATTCTGACTCCAGTGTAATTCCATAGGCGTCCTTCCTTCATCATCACAAGTGAAAAAGTTTAAAGTAATTAAGGCTTGGTGCAGCCTACCCGCAGGCGATTTCTCCTTCATCCCCTTTTTTGTTTTTCAAGTTGGGATTTTAGCCGCTAATGCTGTCGTTCAATAATGGCCTGTCCTTGGGAATTATATGGTATTCCTGTAATATGCTGAATTTCCCACCTTTTACAAAATTCCTAAATTTGACAGCTTGTGTAAGCAGGTCCATTATCAGTTTTAATAATTTTTGGAATTCCCATGATGGCAAACGCAGCTAAGCATTGATTGATGACCTATGTTGACATTTTTCCTGTAGATGCAATAGCCCATGTTACTTTTGAAAAAGTATCTACAGAGACATGTAATGCACTGAGGCATCCAAAGGGATTATAATTTGATACATCCATTTGCCAGAAATGATCTCTCAGCAAACCTCTGGGGTTGACTCCTGTGTTAGGCCCTTGAGGTAGATGTAACATGCAAGTTGGACACTCCTTAATAATCTGTTTTGCCTGTTGTCGAGTGATTGAGAATTGTTTAGACAACATTTTGGCAGGCTGATGTAAAAGCTGATGAGATTCTAAGGCTTCTTTTAATAAAGCAACCAGGTGATCAGCCTTGCGCATTTCATTTGATTAAAGGACAAGGCAAAACACTATGAGCCCTGATATGAGTGATATAAGAAGGATATTGTCTCTTGTACAATCTGCTGAACTTGTTTAAATAGTAAAAATAAACTTTGGTCACTAAGCCATTTCAACAGGGCAGTTTCAATTCTATTCACTAAGTTTGCAGCATAAAAGGAATCAGAGACTATATTAAGAGGCTCTTGGAAATCCTGCAATGCAGCCTTAATAGCTTCTAGTTCAATTCTCTGTACAGATGACTGGTCAGTATGACTCGGTATGAATTTATTGTACAGTATGATAGGCCGCTTTCCCATTTGATGATGCATCAGTAAAAACAGAGCTCCAGGAATAGGTTCCTGCCTAGTATTTTTTGGTATAATGATGGTGGTATTATATAAAAACTATAGTAATTTATGTTTTAATAGGTGACAGCAAAGTTCCCCAGAATATCCACTTAACCCAATTTGCCAATTTATATCAGTCTGAAATAACATTTCTAATTGCTTCCCAGTGAGGGGGAGGTAGATACACTGGGGCTCTTCCCCTCTAAGATGTTTACAACGTTTCCTAATTTGAAATAATAATTGGGCTAACTGTTCTACATATGTAACCGCAGTTTTAGAGGATTGATGTCCTAGATGGACCCATTCAATAATGGCAGGAGAATTTTTATTTTGAAAGATAATTCCAGTGGGACTATTTGCAGTGGGATTAATTCGTCCAATAAAGGTAATTTGTCCATGCTACTTGGGCTGAAAAAATTGCCTGCTCAACTCTTAACAACTCATTCCTAGCTTCATCAGTTAATGTTTGGGGAGAGGAAAGAGTAGAGTCACCTCTAAGTAAACTAAATAAATTTGTAATTTCTCCTGTAGAGATCTTTAGATAAGGTCTTAACCAGTTAATGTACCCTAATATTGTAATTTCTGAAAGTCATTTAAAGTTTTAAGACAATCTTTCCTTATCTCCACCTTCTGAGGCCTAATGCATTGGTTTTCAATTATGGTTCCCAAATATTGAAAAAAATGTTTCTTTTTGTACCTTTTCTGGAGCAATTCTTAAGCTCCATTTAGGGAGTTCCTCTTCTAATTGGGAAAACATGGCCAAAGTCCGCTCTTCCAGTGGGCTTGCTAAGAGCAATACATCCATGTAATGAATAATGTAACATTGGGAATATTTGTCTCTTAAAGGATGAACAGCTTGGCGTCGGTCTGCAGACTGAAGGGTCCCAGGTTCGATTCCAGTCAAGGGCATGTACATTGGTTGCGGGCACATCCCTGGTAGGGGGTGTGCAAGAGGCAGCTGGTCGATGTTTCTCTCTCATGGACATTTCTAGTTCTCTATCTCTCTCCCTTCCTCCATGTAAAAAATCAATAAAATATATTAAGAAAAGAAAAGAAAAAAAAAAGAAAAAAAAAAGGATGAACAGCTTGAGCCACATATTTAGAGTAGGGCCATTGGCCATTCCTTGAGGTAAAACCTTCCACTGATATCTTTTCATAGGTTCTATATTAATAATAGATGGCACTGAAAATGCAAATCTTTTTTATCTTGAGGTGCTAAGGGAATGGTGAAAAAACAATCTTTAAGATCTACTATGATGATAAATCAATTTAAAGGAATCTGTGAAGGCGCTGGAAGTCCAGGTTGTAAAGCTCCCATGGTATGCATAGTAGCATTAACTGCTCTGAGATCATGTAACAATCGCCATTTTCCTGTGGCCTTTTTAGGGATTGTAAATATAGGCATATTCCAGGGACTATTGGAAGGTTCTATGTGGCCAGCCTCTATTTGTTCTTGTATTAATTCATGAATATGACTTAATTTCTCCTTGTTTAAGGGCCACTGATCCCACCCATATAGGTTTATCATCTTTCCATTGTATAGGATCAGCATGAGGGTGAGGAGACTGAGCAGTGACCGCTCCTAAAAAGGTTGATATCCCATTTGAGTTATTAACTGCTTTCCTTTGCAGGTAACAATACATGCCTGTAAACCTTCTAAAACGTCCCGGCCCCATAAGTTGACTGTAATTCCAGAGATGACATAGAGCTAAAACCACCCTGTCTGTCCTTCCTCATCTTGCCACCTTAACACTGCAGCACTACATTGTGTGTCATTAGGAACTCCTACCCCCTAACTGAGCCCATAGCTTCTACCGTGGACCAACTTGGAGGTCAGAATTCTTTACTTATAACACTAACATCCACTCCAGTGTCCACTAGACCCCTAAATTGTTTTTCCTCAATCTTAAATTAATCATGGGATGGGTTTTGCTAATTTCATGTATCCGATAGATGTCTGAGCTTCCAAATCCTTGCATTCCTCTTTTCTTGTTTGTAGCCTCACCTTGCTGAACATAAGGTAGAAGTAGTATCTGAGCAATTCTTTGTCCTGGAGTAATTTGCATAATATGATTACATTCTAGTATAACTTTAATTTCTCCTTCATACACTGAATCAATGACTCCAGGCAGGACAGTTAGTCCTTTCAGAGTGTTTCCACTCCTCCCTAAGATTAATCCTCTTGTTTAATTAGACCAATAATAAGCAACTTATTTTGAATTCCTAATCATTAAAGAAAACCCATTTTAACTATATAACTTCTCCCCATTTAATTTGCACTTTGAACTTTTAAAGCTGGCAAGTCAAATATATTTTGCATGTCCTAGATTAATAACACTTTACATTTCTAAGAAAAATATAAGACATAGTCAATTAAGAGCTTCCATTCTGTCCTCTAGATTTTTTTATGAGGCAAATTTAAACTTTATTTTTTATTTATATAATTAAGCTAAATTCCAATAAAAATTTTGACACAGGAGTTGGAGAAAGTTTATAGCCATTCAAACGCAAAATACCACATTCCTCAGCACACTGGAGAGTGGGCTTCCTGATTGGATCTCCCAAATCCTCCTTGCTCTGGGGGAAGTTTCAGCAACAATTCTGGCCACACAGTTTTTCATGCTTAAAAGATAAAAACAGGTCTTAATTTTTTTCTTTCTTTTTTGCTTTCTGAAGTAATAATTAGCACCCAATTTGGCCAAGATCAGCATTTCCCTGTGAATTCTTTTATAATTTTTAAAGAAAACTTTAAGTAATCTCATTGCAGGAGAGCAGATAGCTTTGCCCTCTCCTGCCACCTTTGAATTTCTCCACACCAGAGGCAGTTTCAGCTGTGAACTCTCATTTCTTATTACAGATTTTAAATTCCAAATACAAACTAAGATTTTAATTTGAACAAGAAACCACATTCTTTAAGTTTACAAACCAAAAATCTATAATAAAGTTTACTTTATATTTATAACCTAATTCTCCCCCATTAGCCTGGCTGAAAAAGACATTCCCACCCTACTAGCAGTTCTCGACTCTGCAGCTGGCCGTGGGCTTTGAGTGCAGTGAATTTCCCTCACCTTTTTTCTGGTGAATCTTCCACACCTTTTCTCGGTGTATTTTTCCTCCTTCGCTCTTAGGCGAAAACTGTCTTCTCCTCCAGAAGTCCCGCGTTGAAGGCGCCAGATGTAGGCCTCTCTTTCACGGCCCATGTAGAAAGAGTTCCAATTCAGGGTTCAGGTTCCGGAGAAGGGCGCACACAAATGAAAAGAGACTTGAAGAAATTCAACTTGGCGATATGGGGGGCAGGCGGTAGTCCAACTCTAGTGGGAGAACTACTACTGCTCTGGCGTGCCAATCCTTTTATGCAGGTTTTGGGGAAAACATCATAGGCAAAATAAACAGACATTTACATGGAGCCTTGAGGCAGGAAATAACAGAAACTTTCAAGGGACAAACAAGCTAGCTTCTGCTTCAGCTAACAATATTCAACTAAAGGTTAGAGCAATTAAGGTCGTTGACCAGCCTTCCTGGCTTCCTGTCAACATCTCTTTTTTAGTGAAACTGATTTGTTTTCCAGCATAGCAGTTTTTGTTTGTTTGTTTGTTTGTTTTTAATGTATTTTGGTGCTCCTGTATTGGGTGCATATGTGTTTACCAGGATTATTTCTTCTTGTTGGATTACTCTCTTTAGTATTATGAAGTTATCTTGTTATGTCCTTCACTTTCGTATCTAATTTATCAGATATAAGTATTACTACCCCAGCTTTTTTTTTTTTTTAATTTTCTTTATTTCGATTCGCCTGGAAAACCTTTTCCATCCCTTTACCCTCAGTCTGTGTGCATTTTTTTTTTTTTCTGAAGTGGGTTTTTTGTAGACAACAGATAAATGGGTCTTGTTTTCTTGTCCAAACCATTACCCTATGTCTTTTGATTAGAGCGTTTACATTTAAAGTTATTATTGATAGGTACTTATTTGACGCCATTTTTATTCTATACCCCTGTGTTCCTTCTTCATTTCCTATTTCTTTATTTTTTACAGTAGGTCCTTTAGCATTTTTTGCATTTCTGGTTTGGTGGTGATAAATTCCTTTAGTCTTTTTTTTTTCCCCCCTTCAATTTTGTTTGATCGCCTTGCTGCATACAGTATTCTTTGCATGACTTTGTATATTTCATCCCATTCCCTTCTGACCTGATGAGTTTCTGTTGAGAAATCAGTTGCTAGTCTGATGGGGGTTCCTTTGTATGTAACTTTCTGTCTCTCTGGCTGCTTTTAAGATTCTTACTTTGTCGTTGGTGTTTGTCAATTTAATTATAATGTGCCTTGGCATCGGTCTTTTGAGATTCATTTTGCTTGGGGCTCTGCGAGCATCTTGGATTTGTGTGGGTTTTTCCTTTTCTATCTCAGGAAAGTTTTTTGTCATTATTTCTTGAAACAGTTTTTCTATGACTTCCTCCATTTCCTTTCCATCTGGAACCACTTTATTCTAATATTGTTTTGTTTTGTATTGTCCCAAAGTGCCCATAGGCTCTCCTTCTGCCTTTTATTTTATTTTTTCTAGAAGCTGCTCTAATTGGGTATTTTTTTCCATCTTGTCTTCTAGCTCACTGATGTGGTCCTCTGCTTCTTCTAGTATATTCTTGATGCTTTCTATTGAGTTCTTTACAGTAGCAATGTCATTTTTATTTCTTCTTGGTTCTTCATTTCCTCTTGGTTCTTACTCATATTGTCAAATTTGTCTTTCATTCTTTTTAGCCATCTTAGATCATTACTCTGAATTCTTGCTCTGGTAGTTTTCTTGCCTTTAACTCATTTAGTTCCTTTTCTGGAGATGCCTGCTTTTCTTTCATTTGTGGGCTATTTGTCTCCTCATGGTGTCTCTTTTCAGGATGTCTGGTTATGTAGTTCTATTTCTCCTGCATTGATTTAAATGCACAAAATACAATACTACCAGGTACAACACACAAGGCACTGAACACAAATGTATTTGCCATATTAATAACCTCTAATAAAGAAGACCACTAGAGAAAGGCAAATTAGGGAATAGGAGAGAAAGAAGAAAAGTAAAATAAAGAGGGATTAATAAAGAGATATAAAAACAGTAGTGTTGAAATGAAATTCGGAAACAGGAAAAAAGAGAGAGAGAGAGAGAATATAAACAGACTAAGTGAGAAAAGGGGAACAAACTATATATATGTGGAGAAAATTCCAATAGAACATCCAGCAAATGCCAACAACTGTACTTGGAGATTAATACAAACTACAATACCCACTGATATCAAGCAAGGCCAGGATAAACAGAAGTAAAAAATAAATAAAAACAAAGCAATTAAAAAAATACTAAGCAACAATAATAACAAAAGAATAAGCATATCAATCTCACTAAAAAGCATAAAAATTCAATATAATTAACATTCATGCAAATAACAACAAGAGGACAGAGAAGAAAGTAGTTATAATTATTTTTTTTAATAGTTAAGATATTCACTTGGACCCCATGGCTGCCTCTCAGACATGGCTGGAAACTTTTGCGGGAACTTGAGGGTCTGCTGAAT